ACAACACCATCCAAGAGGGAACCATGAAAGCGGCGATAGAAGAAGTGGTGTGAAAAATGCACCATCGGACAGTCCGGTCAGCGTCTGCACGAGGCTCCAAACCATCTGTTGCCACCGAACTGTCCGGTCAGGAGGGCCAGATTGTGTAGTCAACCATACTGTCCGGCAGCGCGCTTGCATGCAGAATTTGGGAAAAATTCATGTATCTTTACCCTTTTGCCCCTTACTTACCCCTTCATGCCTTGGACCTACATATATCACTCATCATCACCATCCATTTTAGGATTAGCAAAGAGCCAAAGACTAGAACTAAAATCATAGAGCTTTGCTCATGTTTCTCCCTCTTTGTGGGATCTATCTTCTCTAGTGGAACCAAAGCCTCCTAATGGAAGAAGGATTCCCCAAGTAAATCATCAAGGCCTTCTAATGGAAGAATGATTCCCCAAGTGAATCATTAAGACTTGCACTGATGGAGAAAAATGGCTTCATAAAAGCATCAAGCCCTCCTTGTCTTAGGACTTGGGAAAGAAACCCTAACTTATTCCGTCTCTCTCTTTGGATGATTTGAAACAAGGATCTATCTATGTGTATCTTTTATTTGCATTTGTGTGTTGATTTGAGTGTTGATTTGAGTGTTTCCCTCGCATATCCTCTAGTGTTCATCGTGTTCTTCCTTGCAGTAGTCACCATGGGATGCGTGCCACTAAGTGTTGGTGCCCAATTCGGTAGCCTCCCCCTCCCCGTCCCACCCCAAGTGAACATGGGGAAAAGGATATGCCTCTCCCCATGGACGGTGGCCGCTACTGCAAAGGGACGGTGGGCGCCACGACAAGCAAGGGTGGCGGCGCTGCGAACATGCACCACCTACACTGTGAGCGATCATCTAGTGATGATGTGAGCACTGTGGATGGTGTTGCGGTAGTGATGGCCACAACTTACGCCTGGTGCTACAAGGCCGACACTTGATGGGGCGTGGCGCTGCAAAGCCAACCCCGAGCTCTTAGAAAAGGTGACCATCAGAGCTTTCAAGGTTCGTCGATGATATGTCGGCACTGTAACATCGGTCGGGGCGACGGCGACAGATGACTCACGATACAATGAGTAGGCCACACGATGCTGTGGTGCGGCAATAGGGCCGGGTGTTGCAAGACCACGTTGGATGTTGCAGGCTGACCGCGGCACTACCGCAAGGACGACGAGCGCACTGCAGGAGGGTCAATGGGCGCGGGGTGCTGCAAAGTGCCAGCTGCCGTGAGGGGCCACACAGAGGTGCGGTGAGGCACTGAGGCTGATCACGAGTCGACTGATTTCCTAAGAAAAAATCGGCTGACCCGCGTAGCCCAAAACCTAGCATCTCATCACAAAACTAAACTCGCGTCCCATTACACGGAAAAAAAGGGCCACCTGTAAGGCCGTGTAGAACTCCCTCTCCCGGCCTGTGGCCTCCGGACAACCAGTCAACCAGAGAGGAGAGCGCGTCGCGTCGCGCGCACGAGCAGGCGCCGGAAACATGGCCACGGCGGCGCACGCGAGACGGCTGGCGGCCTCGCGCGACGACCCTTCGGCCGCCCCGACGTCGGGGAGGTCCCAGTTCGACCTCTCGTCGGGGGCGGCCACCGCCGTGGTGTTCCTCTCCATCATCCTCTGCTTCATCCTGCTCTGCACCTACTGCCGCTGCGCTCGGCAGCGCGCCATCGCGGCCGCGCGCGGCGGCCGCGCCATGCGCCACGGCTTCCCGAGCGCCCTCCTCCGCCCGGCCGACGGCGCGGCGCTGCCCGTGGTGCGCTACGCCGACGCCGGCGCCGGCGCCAAGAAGGGGCAGCAGCCGGAGGGGGACTGCCCCGTCTGCCTCGAGGCCTTCGGCGACGACGACGGCGTCAAGGTCGTCCCGGCGTGCGGCCACGTCTTCCACGCCCCCTGCATCGACCGGTGGCTCGACGTGCGCAACTCGTGCCCCGTCTGCCGGTGCGTCGTGGTCTGCCACTACGCCGACCGCGCAGGCCCGGGTGCCGGCGACGACGGCGACGACCAGGAGGTCGTCCTGGAGCGCGTGGTCGCCATGATCGAAGCTATAAGAGAAGAGGAGGCCGCGGCGAGGCGCGCGCCGGCGACCGCGAGGGTCCGGGGGTGATGACGCGTACGTGCCTCGGGTTGTACAGGCACAGCTAACCTAACTGGGTAAGTTGAGCGTTGCTAGACAGACGATGCCTGCACGGCCGATGCATGAACGATTCATACGTGGCAGCACCAGTAGCTACCGATTCTCAATAAAAAAAGCACCAGCAGCTACCGTGCGTGGTGGAGCCCTGTTGGGGAGGGAGAATCGTGCAAGCGTCGTGCACTAACCGTCGTGTGTAAAGCAATTTTAGGGTAAGTTTCTGTTGTAGCTTTGGTGTGATAGTACAGAGTGATAATAAATTCACAACTGTGCAAGTTCTTTTAAGAACACTGAGTTTTTTTTTTGCGGGGGACTTTAAGAACACTGAGTTGTATATATTCAAAGCTATATAATGTAATGTGATGACTGTCAGTTTCTTTGTTCAATAAAAATGGCTAGGAATTAGGCACCTTATTTCTGAAAATTCGGCGAAAAGCATTCCTAAGTTTGCTGGTCTATTACCGTGGTAGACTCCGAAGAGGCAAAACTAATGCAAATATATAAGAAAAGGTATTATAAACCATGTTAGTTGTCAGTTGATCTATTTTTTTTATTAATTGTGTTTGTATTTGTTAGGATATTTTGTTAAATGTATAGATGTTAATCATTTTGAGTATGTATAACGAACCACCACCTTAGTTGCAGACATTATAAACCAGCTAAGCTATATTCTCGAGGCTATCATACAATTGTACAGGCATAGACAGCAAGCCAGAAATTGAGAAAGAAGTCTCCTCCTTGTGTTGGCTGAAGGGAGCACAAATCATTGACCCCTTCCTCGCCTGACCCTCCATTTTCAGAATATAAATAGATGTAAATGGGGCCAAGCCAACTAGGAGACGTTTTGTTCTATATTGCTTATATTATTGGATAGGTATTAGGTGGTTGCTTTCCAAATCCAATTGTTGCCTGCGCCAATTTGTCACTTGGCAAGACTACAGCCCGCTAGATAGTGACACGTCGAATACCCAATTTGAGCTTTCGCCAATTATAAATAAATAAAAATAAAATAAATTGAGCTATCTCATCCCAGTTCCTATCAGATATGATTTTTTAGGTAGAGTAGCATACTAGTTTGTACGGAGTATATATGAAGCCTCGCAACCCATATGGCTTAATAATTACTCCCTCCAGGCCATTTGAACTAAAACCTCGTCAATCTTTATGGATCGGAGGGAGTAATATTATGTTAGGTACTAAAATTATTTGTCTAAAATACATGCAGCACATTTCGGAGCGCCCACCGCATGTTTTCAAGATCAGTTCAGTTCAGAAGCCATGCTTCACGTTTCAGCCAAGAGGAGCATATCCTTGGCTTTGAACACAGGATCCTATCAGCTGATCCATACTTTCACCGAAGCTGGTGAGTGCAAGGGACATTCGAAAGGCCGCTGTCTAAACACAAGTAATTATTTCTTGATCAGCATGCAAGCCAAGAGTTCTCCAGGCACCAATGCATGAACATCATCACATGTGGACTGAACCAACTGTTTTCTTCAATGATGACCTGACTGCCAACAGTTTCAGATTGTCCAGTCATCCCCCATTTCTTTCTTTGCTACTAAAGACCTCTTGTAACCATTGCTCTGTTGGGTCCCACTGTCACATTCAATCAGAGAAGCTATATGCCAAATTGTGTTTGACAGAATACTGTCCTCAAAAAGCGAATAACAAAGTAATCGACAGACTATGTGCATATACTCCCTCCATCTCAAAATAAGTTTCTCAACTTTGTGTTGTACTAAAGTCGAGACACTTATTTTGGGACGGAGTGAGTATTATATTACATGTGAAAGAACATTAGCCTACAAAAGGATATCACGTGACCAACTATACAATTCAGCAAGAAAACTACACTTATCAGCAGTTGATTAATCTACAAAGATGAACTAACCAACGGTTATGTTGGCTCTGTCACTCTGTGTAAAGGGAAGAGTGGTCTGTGTGGTTATATGAACCGATGAATTTTAGGCTATCCCCTAGCACCACATATGCTTGTGAAGTTGTGATAACTAATAATCGCTTGAGACTAAGTGTAGTAGGGCCTCCCAACTGCTAACTGTGAATGGTTGTTGCCATGTGATTGCTTCATCACTGAGACCTGAGAAGTGGGAACCATGAGCATTTTATTCTTTTGGGGGCACAGCTTCCGGTGCAGCTCAGAGCACATATCCAGTTCTGCACTTGCTTGGAATTACTCAGCTCTTGCACGGTGGTTGTCTGGGAATGCCGGTACCCTCCGACGTCGACAAAATATGTCCTGATAATTAGATAACCAAGTCGTTATGAGGACACAAATACTGATTGATGTACTCGTGCTCACGCTCATGCATCTACAAGATCAGGAAAGTATAAAGAGTTATCAGTGATTTCCTCATTGATAGAGGGTTTACTGCCATAAGCTTCTTCAATGAAAGAGTTTACTGTCATAATTTTCTTCAATGAAAGAGGGTTTCTTACCACTTGATAAGTGTAGTTTAGCCCAATTTTATGACACGTTATCTGCTATCAAACCATGCAGTCCATGTGCCGCCAATGTTACACATTCATGTTACTATTACTTTTTTGAGCTTCATCATAACAAATCAACTTTTTATGGTGGGATTCCCAGTACTACATTAGCTAGTATCTACTGCATCTGTCATGGTGTGTCTGATATTCGATAGCAGGTAAAGTTTTATCGAAGTAGCAGCCTTGAATTTAACCCAATTTTTTTTTCATGCTCCACATCTAAGAAATCAAGTTGCAATTGCATGTAATCGAAGGAGCAGGAGAATACATGAAGTACCTGTACTGTGGACTGTGGGCCTTACGGTTATGGCACACAGTTGCTCGTCATCCCCTAGAACCATCGTCCCTTCCTTGCAGTTGCACTTTTCAACTCCATAACTAGTTCTTCTCGTTGAGCCTCCACTTCTGCATATTGCATGCTCACGTTGAGTAACCGATCCTGCATATCTTTTAGCTCTGACTCCAGTTGTGCTATCCTGTTCCCATCCTTGTTATCCTTTTCATCCCTGCTACCGAGTTGTCCCTCTCCCGTTGGACTGTACAGGGTAAAAAGAGAGTATGATCTTCTGAAAGGTACCCCGATATCATTGATTGATGCCTTACAGTAGTAAAAACCGCATGAAACGAAAACCATTCTAATGTGCACAATATTTTGATCATGATAATGGTATGATAAAGGTTATATATTAGAAGTTGTCCATTTACGGACGCACAAATCAAATGTCTCACTGTTTCTTTTCTCTCAATTAATAGAAACATTTTGACTGCACGCATTCTAGGATGTCATCTATTTCCAAATGGATGTGTTTTGCACAAGGAGACCATCTGGGGGCGGCAATGTTGCACCCTTATATTAGATGCACTGGTGACAGCAGCAAGTAACGGCTGAAAAGCAGCTGGGAGCATGCATCCAAACTATCTTTTTGTATAGAATAGTTTTTTATTTTTGAACATTTTTTGTATAGAATAGTTAATACCACACGGATAATTTTACATGAATGTTGTTTCTTATTATGGGAATGTTAGAAATCTGACGTCAATTTTTAACCATGGCAAATCAACCGTTTTTTATGGCAAATTGTGTTGTCGCCAGGATGGCAATTTCCTTTAGCAAGCATGGCAAATCCTGGCAAAAAACTAAACATGGCAAGAATTTGCCATGGTTGCTAAAGGAAATTGCCATCCTCGCGACGATATAATTTGCCATCTCAGGCGTTCGATTTGCCATGCTAAAAAATCTGACGTTCGATTTGTAGCGAAATACCTCTTCTTAATGCTTAATGGAGTGGCATAGATGGTCTGCAGCCTTAAGAACATGGGAGTTTAATTAAGACTCCCATATGCATGGTATAGCAAAGGAAATCTAGTGAAAATGTGTTTTGCTAGTAACAGATGTCAGAGGGAGGAGGGATGCGATAAATCACTAAACCTTTGCAGCTGCGCCCTATATGATTTATTTTCCTCCAATGCATCAGCAAGTCTAGTCTCCAGTAATTCTAGCTTTGAGTGAATGTCTAGATCTTCATTAACATGAGTACCTCCATTGTCATTAGCAGCGTCGTCATTACCCTAAAATAGCAAGGAAATAGTTAAGTGAAATAGTGCACATGGCCATCACATTTAAATCTACGTAACCCTGATCTAGAACAAGTTGAGTTATACTTCTAAATGGCTCACCTTATTTACTACAAGCTTTGCTTGAGTGGATTTACGACGATTTTCTTCATCGGCATCATGCAAAGTACTCTGGATACAAGAGACTTGGTCTGTTAACATGGCCTTCTGCACCTTTAGTTCTTCACATTCTTCAGATAGTGACTGCAGACGCTCTTCTAATTTTGTCTTTTCAAACTTAGCCTGATCAAGAGAACTTTGTAGTTTGAAAACTTCATCTTGGATGCTTGCCATTTTGCTAACCTGGATTTTTAGTCCAGAAATTTCCTCCATTACTTCCTGTTTCTCATAATCACTGGATTTATACTTCAACTCTAGTTCGTCTGAAGTTTTCCTTAAGTTTTCTTCATTGGATCTAGCAGCTTCCATCAATCTTGTCATATGCTCAACATCTGTTGTCAGCGTTTCCTCATTATGTTTGGATGCGTTAAGCGAATCAATCAGGCCTTTAATTTTGGTTTTAGACTCTGTACGAAGATCTTCCAACTGAGACTGATAATGTCTCATTTGTGCACTGACATCTTCAAGGTTAGCCTCAAGTTTGGCCTTGTCTGCTCGCAGGATGGAGACCTCATGTATGCTATCCAAGGCGGCACTGTCTTTCTCCCCGTCTGTGGAGGACAGCTGTGCAGTAAGGCTCATGACCTCCCTCTCAAGATTCTTCACTTCACCAATCTTTTCGTTCTCTATCTTGTGTAAAAGGAAATGTGCACTATTTATCCTTTCTTCGTGTTCCTTGTGCTCCTGGAATATATTCTCCAGCTCTGAAAGCAAAGATTGCTCTTTTAAAGTTACCTCTTTTTGAAGCGTAGAGAGTTTTGCCTCTAGGAACTCTGCTGTTTCGAACAAATCCATTGTCTTCCTTTTTGATTGATCTAATTGCTGCTCCAGCTGTGCACAATGGTCATGTAATTCCAGCTTCTGCTTCTTTAGGTCAGCTGTTAGAGTCTGAAGAGAACTGCATTCTTCAGCAACACTATCAATTGTGGCCTGTAGTTTTGCATTTGATCTTCTTAGAGCCTCCGAATCCTCTTGTACTTCTGACAATCTAGTTTGGGACTCCAAATGCTTTTGCTTCATTTCCAGCTTTTGAGCTTCCATCTCTGCTTGCTGCTGTTCTACTAAATCCTTAAGATTTGCGATAAGTGATATAGAATAATCCATTTCTAGCCTGGTTGCCTCCTCTTCACTTGTGAGAGAAGTCAACTGAGACTCTAGTTCAGATATGAACTCGGAAAACTCAATATTCTCTTGTTCCAGCTTTGTTACAAGCAACTCTAGTTCAACTTCGCGGCTTTCAAGCTCGCTAATCTTTCTTTCGAGAACCTTATTGGCAGAAGCATGAGAATCTACGCTACTGGTAAGCACAAGGAGATCTTCTCGCGCTTCATCCAAGCATTTTGATGTCATGCTACTTTCTTCAAGTGATGCTGCCAAACGTTCCTCTAGCTGATCCTTCTCCTTCTGAATATCAGAAATAGTGTTCTCCATTTCTGTCGTACAATGTTGCAGACCATTGATCTCCTGTTCTTTCAGCATAACTGTATGCACAAGCTCATTGATCTTTGTTTCGAGAACCCCATTGGCAGAAACATGGGAATCTACACTGCTGCTAAGCACAAGGAGATCTTCCCGCGCTTCATCCAACCATTTTGAAGTCATGCTACTTTCTTCAAGTGATGCTGCCAAACGTTCCTCTAACTGAGTCTTCTCCTTCTGAATATCAGCAACGGTGTTCTCCATTTCTCTCGTACAGAGTTGCAAACCATCGATCTCCTGTTCTTTCAGCATAACTGTATGCACAAGCTCACTGATCTTTGTTTCGAGAACCTCATTGGCAGAAACATGGGAATCTACACTGCTGGTAAGCACAAGGAGTTCTTCTCGCGCTTCATCCAAACATTTTGAAGTCATGCTAGTTTCTTCAAGTGATGCTGCCAAACGTTCCTCTAACTGACTCTTCTTCTGAATATCAGCAATGGTGTTCTCCATTTCTCCCCTACAATGTTGCAAACTATCGATCTCCTGTTCTTTCAGCATAACTGTGCGCACAAGCTCACTGATCTTTGTTTCGAGAACCTCATTGGCAGAAACATGGGAATCTAAACGTTCCTCTAACTGACTCTTCTCCTTCTGAATATCAGCAATGGTGTTCTCCATTTCTCTCGCACAATGTTGCAAATCATCGATCTCCTGTTCTTTCAGCGTAACTGTACGCACAAGCTCACTGATCTTTGTCTCGAGAACCTCATTGGCAGAAACATGAGAATCTACACTGCTGGTAAGCACGAGATCTTCATGCGCTTCAACCAAGCATTTTGAAGTCATGCTACTTTCTTGAAGTGATGCTGCCAAACGTTCC